TGGTAGTTTATGCAATGCTCTTTTCAAATGTGCCTATCTTCGAGTTCTATGGCATGGTTGCTGCTACTGCTGAGCTGAGGATTGATATTTAACACCTAGTTTTGTTGGAGTTGCTTGTTCTATGTTATGAATTAAAAGTTATAGATTTGATTTTCTCAAAGATTTCTGAAAGTTCCATTGAGAGGTAAATAATGAGTAGCCTATAGCAAAGGTTGTGATTGAATATGCTAATAAGTTGCGTTATAAGTATGGCTCTACCATGCAACATGTAACAGAGCCCAAGGACTTTGAGGTGCATCCAGGGGCTAAGGTTAGTGGAAGCGTTGGGGGAAAATTGGTGTTGGTTGGGAACAAGAGGTTCATGCAGGCCTACAATGTTCCATTGGCCCTGAGGTTAACTAGCTCGTACATGTGTACTAGTACTCTGGTGGACATTGATGGGAGGATTGTTGAGGCTTTTGCCAAAGGCAGAATGTGTTATATCATAGGAAAGGCTATGATACAACACCTTCTGCCTTTGGTTTCACAGGTACAGCAAGGGAGTTTGGAATTAGCAAAGTGTTTACTGAAAATGATCCACTAGGAAAGGTTGATAAGATCAAAGAATTGCAGGTAGATACATCCAAACACTTGTTGGGTCGGTAATACTCCATATGAACTATAGAAGTCTGAAGCAAAAACAATCTTGTATTCTTGTATAAGCTTTCTTGTTTAAAGTCTCTCATTTATGAATTCCTCTGAACTCAAAGCTCACTTAAACTTATTTACCCTACAAATGTTAGAATCGACGGAGAGTATTGTGTTCGATCAAATAATCACATAATTGTTGATGTTATTGATTTTCTATCAAATAATCCTATCTGCCCCACAAATGTTGATATTGATCTTCTAGTTCATAGGAATAAATGGTTATTTAAAGGCTTTGTCCAATTGGTATTGTGTACATGTAAAAAAACTAGATATAAATTATACATGCATCTTTAACAACCTCACATGCTAGGACTTAATTAAGCACAGATTGAGTGTGAAGTTCTAGTAATAATCAAACCAAATTTTTATTCAGAGGACTTGTTGGTTTGTTGCTAACATCTTTAGCTCCGTTTTGCCATTATGTCAAAGGAGCAACATAGCATTGGGTCAAAAGAACAGGGAATGTCACGACACAAATGTATAATGAATTTGTGTTTACAGAAAGAACAGGGAATGCCATCCATTGGGTCAAATGGATGGAAAGTCGCAATCAAGGGATTTAACTGAAAATCTAGAGGAATAAGAATCTGAGGTGGAAATAAACAAACACCAAGAAATATGAACAAGTCATTAAACAATAGAGATTATATATTGATCAAGCATTTTGCAATTTTTTTCAGAATGGAGAAGATATTGCTTTCGAGTGATAACATACACAGACATAGCATCCACAAATAGCATAACAAAAGGAGAAGAGGGTAAAAATGAATGGAAAAAAAAAAAAACAGGATCTATTATAGCATCTATAAATAGGTACGACAACGAGTCTGTTTGTTTCAACATTCAAATGAAAAAAAAAAAAAACGGAAAAGGTAAAAACAAAGAAGAAGAAGAAGAAAACATGAGAGAGACGAAGAATGTTTAATTTGGAATGGTGAAGGTAAAAACATGAGAAAGACGAAGGAGAAAGAGGGAGATGACATACCGGTTGATGGAGCAAATCGGCAGATAATTGTCTTCTTCCTTGCAGCAGAGCACAAGAGCAAAGAGCTTCAACGAAGAGCACAACAACACAAGTGGTGGAGAATAGCAACGGTAAATTGTTGTAGGGTAAGAAAATGGGCATGTGATGCATATTATCAATAAAAAATTGCATAATAGCCACAGACCAAATTCAACTAAGATAAAAATGCGTTGACGAGTTATTGAGACATGGTCCCGTCCTCCACACCAAATCAAACTTTGTGTTCAGCCCGTGGCGTGGACCCCACGAGATGAACACAGTACCGAAAACCACCTTAATCTCCAGACTTGCTTCCAAAATAAGGCTTTATTCAAGGGTTGCCAATGCTTGAGGCTTAATCCTCCTGTTTGTATTATGTGGGACCATCTTCCAAGGTCTATATAAGAGGATTTTATACGAGTAGTTTCTTCAAACCACCTTATGATTTCTTTTATCCCCGTCCTTTTCTTACATGGGTTTTTGTCCTCAACTAATATGCAAGTTACAACAAAGGCGTGATTACAAAGAGCATCAGGTTTTGTTCGCATGCAAACCATTGCAAAATGTTTATAGGAATACCACCAAGATGGTGGGACAACATTGCCGTAAGGAGTTGCACTAAATTTTCTTATATTCCTTCCCCAAAGTTTGGACTATGATACCGAAAAGACATGATATCGAAAAAATTAACAACCAATTTATGATATTGATTGGTGACCACTGACCGATCAGGTGATATTCAGGGTGTGTTTCGGAAAAAAAAAAACTCTTCCCATATCATGTATTTCCAGTATCATAGTTGACAGATTTTCCCTCTATTGTCCAAGCAGTTAGCTCATGCGCCATGGGTTTCCACCTTATCCCCACTCGTCACGATTGAACAGATAGGATTCACCATCCATATCTTATGTTAAATCAATTGAGAACCGGATTTTATTTACTAGTACCATGCTGTTAATCTGGGTTCAAAGTATAAAAAACACAAAGAGCATGGGAAAAGCTAATTATACCCAACAAGCGTTTAGAATTTGGATATGCTTTGATCATATATATAACGTGAGTTGTACGAACAGAGCATGTTGGAAGAGTGTTGAGTTGTTTGAGATGGGGCGGAGGGAGCCCTGTTTTGCCATCTAAAATGTGATTTTCGAACAGAGAGTTTACCTGAAACGAAGGTTTGTGTTACCTCTTCTTGTAAAACATTAAAAGATGTTCGTCATTCAAGGATAGGTTGAAAGGAATAAGGAGGGCGGAAGACGTCTTGGAAGTTCAAATGTCTCTCGCCTTTCATTGGGTTTCACCACAACTACGTGGAATAAAAAAAGAAAAAAATTCAAAAAACACAGAAAATTAGGAAGGGGGGACCAGTTTTAATAAATAATGTTAATTAACTAAAATACTATAAATATTAAAAGTACTATATTAATTAAAAATATTGTTCATTAATAAACTCAGTATTTCAATAAATACTTTTAATTAATGAATAAAATACTATAATTATTAAAAATACTGTTAATTAATAAATACGGTTAATACAGTTAATTACAAAAATACTCTTAATTTTTTAAAATATTGTAATTATTCTTAATGCTGTAAATTTTAAAATACAGTAATTATTATTACTACTCCCTCCCTCTCTCTCTCCTCTCTCTCCTCTCTTTCACTTAAATGTCTTTTTGAAGTGTATTAATAACATGCATTAAAATAAGAGGCATTTGAAAACACAAAGGTCTCTCTCTCTCTCTAATTGTGTGCAGTTTTATTAATCTAATCAAGATAAGCAATGATTACTCTTTTTATTTTTAAAACAAAAAAAAATAAGAAAAATGAAAAAAAATAAGAAAATAGATAAATAGTTTCTCTCAAAAAGTAATTTTAATGGTTATATTTATTAGAAACCATGTTAATCCCCTTTTTGTTATTTTCTTTGATATTTTCTGTTCATTAAATGTAATTTTCTACTATTTATAGCTTAAATTATATTTAAATATAATTACTTTCGATTACTGTTTAAAAATGTAATTATTTTACTTACAATTACAAACATAATTTAAATAATATTTAAATTATAGCTTACATTAATTAACAATTTAAAAATATTAATACCGTCATGGATTCCACTAAAAGAGCTACCTCAAACAGTAAGTTGGTGTTGGTGTTGGATATATACACTGTAGCGTCGATTTGATTTTGCGTCGACTTGGTTTTTGTTGAAAGTGTTGGAAAATGGGGTTACTGTAACTTTGGAGGAAAAGTTTTGAGGCGCGTCTGAAGACATAGTCTTTACAACATTATTTGCCCATACTCAGTTTCATCGAGTTTGCAGACAAATCCGTTCCCAGGATACAACAAAGCCTTGGGCGAGAATCTGCAACCAGCAAAGTTGAAGAATCTCTGAAGAAACCTTCTGTGAGATTGTAGCAGACCGGACTGAGAGAGAGAGAGAGAGAAAGTGGATTTTGAAAATGTGTGTTTTTGAAGTTTGATTCATTCTCCTTAATTAGTTTATAAAGATGTATGAAGAAAATGTAGGTATTGGCTTAGAGAAGGCACCTTGAACAGTCACAATTTCAAACATTGTGACTGTTTAAAAAATAGTTAATAGTTAATGATTATTAAGTTTGAATTGTGCCTCTTGATCACACTCGATCGAATTATGACCGTTGATCTCATCAACGATGATCAACGGTCAGCAGTACACCAAAACCAAATGCATCTTTCGCGAGCCAAATGCACCTCTAAAATGCCTCATTGTGTCGCACACATGTGTGTGCATGCATTACGCAATATCAAATCCCCTTCAAAACTGGATTTCAATCAAATATTGAGATGCAATTTTTCATATAATTTACCAATCAAATCCATTAAATTTAATCTCTTATGAGATTAAAATCCAACATAAACAATCAAAATTGTTTATCAAACAGAGCTTGGTTATGACGGACGGTGGAGACACGACCATGGAGCTCTAGCTCCACCACCCCATAGTTAAAAAGGGAGAATGGAAGGTGGGAATGCAGACATGAAGCAACATCTGACACATCTGACAAATGAGAAAGGAATCATGGCCAGCAGGGGATTGATTGATTCCATGAAGTATATGGAGGTTTAAAATTATATATGGAGATAATGAAGGGAATAGAAAATTGCATTATCTAGATAGCTGTTAGTTGAAAGGTAACTTTTACACTTGAGTCTCGACATGCAGGACAATTGATTGCATGATGCAAGCAAGGGGTAAACAATTGAAGGTTATTTAAAAAATATTTTTTCTTTGAGGCTGTGCAGAATTTAAATATGTATTTGGCAAGTTTCATTACCCTCGCACGTGATTCTAACGACCACAAGGGGGGTTAACTCGTGGGTTATCTTCCCTTGCGTTGCGTCTTGCGTGCATAAGAACCCCTCCCCCCTCTTTGCCGTCTCGCTCTGTAACTTTCGCACCTTTCACTCTCAGGTCTCAGCAATGGGCGAAGTCGGCCGCAACGACAATTCAAACCTTCCCCCCCACATCGCCGTAATGGCGTTCCCGTTCGGCACCCACGCGGCTCCTCTCCTCAACATCACGCGCAGGTTAGCGGCGGCCGCCCCTGAGGCAACGTTCTCATTCTTCGGCACGGCGGAGTCCAACCGTTCCGTCTTCCCATCCAGCGGAGATGCTCTACTACTACTACATAACGTAAAAGCCTATAATATCTCAGACGCAATCCCCGAAGGATACCACTTTACGGGGAGGCATCAGGAGAGTATAGAGCTGTTCCTGGAAGCAACGCCAGGAAACTTCAAGGAGGGGTTCGAAGCGGCGATTGCGGAGACGGGGAAGAAGATCACCTGCGTGTTGAGCGACGCTTTCCTGTGGTTCGCGGCTGTCATGGCGGACGAGCTCAGCGTCCCGTGGGTTCCCATTTGGTTGTCTGCACTTTGCTCTCTGTCCACCCACCTCCACACTGATCTCATCCGCCACAGGATTGGCGTTAGCCCCAACGGTATGCTAACAAAGCAACCGGCYGCATGTATGCAGCATTTCGATCAGTAATTCTCTGTGAGGAGTCCGGATCTGCTCTCACAGAGCGCGCCTCACATTGATCTCACAGCCTGTCATGGCCGCACATCGGATCCCCTATTTATTATCATGGGATGTTTCCAATACAGGGTGGGACGTGAGACTTACACCGCAAGGAGCAGATCCCAATTCCTCTTTGAGAGATAGGGAATGAGAGGGATCCGGATTCAGTCAGGGCAAGGCGCGTTCCAACAATCTTTATAAACTTAACTAAAACACAGCTGTACGCAATGCAACGAGGTAAAGGCTGTTCGAACGGATTTTCCACTGATTGAAACCGATGTCAGTTGATTGAGTTCAAATCAGCCCCCTACTACGTCTCACAGCACATATTGTAAACATCTTCCGATCAGGACATCATTATCGAGAGATCTTTCCAATACACGGTAGGAATGTGCTGTGCGATGTTGAAGGACAATCTTGTGGGGGTTGATTTGCTCTCTGATTGAGTTAGGTGGTAAACCTAAACCTCTACTGACCCGACCATATTGGGTTAGGTTCGGACTTCSGTTTGGATTACTACGAACCCGTACTATCAACTATGTTCTAATATGAGGCCGGGCGGGTTCGATAATCGATATCCCCTGTCCATTCAATTGGGTCGGGTCGGGTCGGGTTTATTTTCATTAGAGTTAGGCAAAACACCACCAAACCCTACCCTAGTGAGAGAGCTTTAAGTTTTAACACTGGTTATGTTTTGATGTGAGCACAGGTATTGCAGACCGTGAGGACGAGCAACTTGATTTTATTCCCGGGATGTCGAAATATCGTCTCTGGGATTTGCAGGAAGGGATCCTTATCGGAAACTTGGAATCACCCTTCAACCGGATGTTACATCGAATGGGTCAGATGCTTCCACGTGCCGCGGCGGTTTTCATCAACTCTTTTGAAGAGCTGGAACCCGCCACCATGGAGGATATGAAGTCAAAGTTGAAAAAGTGTTTCACTGTGGGGCCGTTTACCATCTTGGCTCCACCTCCATCCGGTCCGGACGAGACCGGCTGCCTAGCGTGGCTGGACCGCCAAAAGCCCCGATCCGTGGTTTATTTGGGCTTTGGATCAGTGATCACACCTCGGCCTCCTGAGCTGACCGTCCTTGCAGAAGGGCTAGAGGCCAGTGGTGCACCATTTCTGTGGTCCATTGGAGACAACGTAAAGGCCCAATTGCCAGTTGGGTTTATTGAGAGAACACAAGACAGGGGAATGCTGGTTTCATGGGCCCCACAGAGGCGTGTGCTGGACCATGCGGCGGTTGCCGTATTTATATCGCATGGTGGATGGAATTCCGTTGTGGAGAGTATTTCCAGCGCGGTGCCGCTGATCTGCCGTCCATTTTTTGGAGATCAAAGGTTGAACGCACGATTGGTATCGGGAGTATGGGGAATTGGGGTAACAATTAGGGGTGGGGTGTTTACGAGGGAGGGTCTGATGGACGCTCTGGATTTGATTTTATCAAAGGACGAAGGAAAGAAAATGAGGGAGGAAGGTGGGACCCTACGAGAGCTTGCAAGAAAAGCGGTTGGACCAGAGGGGAGCAGTACGCTGTATTTCAATGCTTTATTGGAGATAGTTTGCAACACCTAATGATAAACCCTCTTCTTGCAAGCAAATGAGAGACCCTCAAGGTAGATCTAGTTTGGTTTAATTTGCAGTGTGAATTACCTACCATTAAATAATGGCTCTTTAGTGTATTTTGTTATTCTTCTTGCTCAGGCGTATGAATAAAATGCATTCAACAGTCTTAGACTGAGGCCTCAAATCCTGATGATGATTAAATGTTGAACTATCATTATCATCATGAACTTGATCTTGATTCTTCTTAACCGGGCTTATAGAGTGGTCATGATCATTTTCAGAGTTGCATATGATTCAATTTGGATTAATGTTAATTTATAACTTTAATTTAAATTTAATATTATAAGATTAATAAAATTTTCTTTCATGTATTTATACATATCTAAAATTTTAGTAAACATGTGCATGCATTTGTACGTGACAGTTTCTGAATGGTTATAAGTGAATAGCTTTTGAAGAATTATAAGTGGATAGTTTCTGAAGTAAGAGTATATGTCCTCTCTGTGCCCACTATATGCTTAGATAAGAGGAGTAGAAAATGTCCAATAAAAATTCTAAAAAAAATAAGGCATTCGCTCTTTAGATAGTATAGATATTGTTATAGAATTCATGTTCAAGCTTACCAATATCATACATTGGTAGCAGACATATTTCATATATGTCACATGAAGAGATCTGATCATCCGAAGGCCTTGCAAAAATTCCAACAATTCAATTAATGGCTGTTGTTCCATTATCAAAATCCGGAAAATGTCGTCATCACTACCTCGATTAATTTGACTCAGAAATTGGACCTTTACTCATCTATATTATTAATTGATTTGATTAGATGACTAACAGACCAAGAGAAATGTGGTTTCATGGAATTTAAGTTTGTGTGTGTTTGATTGCAGTGCAAATTTATTTGTATTAGTATAAATGCATGGGAGTGTAAATATAAAAAATATAAATTATTGTTTAATTTTATTTTATTTTGCTTCATGTCTTAATTTACTTTATTTGCACTGCAATCAAACAAAATAAGCTAAATTTTGAAATAAAAATAGGTCTAAATTTACATTCAAAACACTTGTACTGCCATGATGATTTTGCATTAGTGCAAATTTATTTACATTGCAATCAAACACAGCCTTAATCTCAATTCGAAAAGAATACAAATATAAACATGTAGAGTACAAAACCTTTTATTTTGTATTATTTTATATGTATTTGTACTGTATATATTTTTATATTTGTACTCTTTCCAAACTCAGCCTTAGTAGCAAAATTTTCTGTAGAAAACTAGGAAATAAGTTTGGGTTCATAAATCCAAGCCCTCCCGACTCTGTAATTGCTTTTCCCAGAAAATTCTTGACCGACTCCGAGGCAACCGTAGCTCGCGAGCTATATTTATTAACTCGTCCGAGCTCCCTAACAGACAAGTGATTCTGAGGACCAATTTCACTAAGGGTAATCCTGGAGTGTTTCCAGCTCACCTTGAGATAGCTCGCGAACGAGCCGCACTAGCGCCCCCTAGGAAGCTTCCGACTGACAGACCGTACCGTTAGACTGCACCATATCCTCTACTGACAGTGCAATCCCAGTCCTTTCGACAGTTTGCGTCCACGTCTCTTGACAGGCAAAGGCATGCCTGCCACTTTGGAAACGTGTCATTCCTCCAGGCGAAGCGTACACCACAACGGCCACCTGCACAGCCCTGGTAGGTAACGGCCGTGGCAGGAGCCTAGTGGCGGTTATGCCCGACCTAATGTGAATGTCCCTCTAAAAGCCCTCAGGGCAGAAGGAAAACTTCTTCTTGAATCTTTGACTTCCTGAACATAGTGATAACGCACTATCCTCACTCTTAGCCTTTGTTCTCCTTTTGCTTCTTGCACACAATACTAACTTAAGCATCGGAGTGTTCCCATCGGGAAACCCCTCGGGAGTTCTTCTTTTTTCCTCTCGTCTCAGGTACCTCTCAGGAGCTACGCGAGCGCCAGTTTGGAGTGACCGGATTGTGTTACATCATTTGGCGCCGTCTGTGGGAAACGCTTCAAAAGGCCTTTCTCTCTAAACATTTTCAGTTCTTTCCCTCCTTGAAACAATCCAACGCTCATGGCTTCCTCTAGTGACGTCGGACGAAGCACGGAAATGAACGACTCCAGGGAACAACCCCAGCTTCCTACTGTCTGTATCGGACAGTTCACCATCCCCCTCTAAGCGAACGAAATCCCCAGCTTGAATGCGCCTCGCACAGTGGCGCCTGTCGTCGCCCCACTCCCTGTTACAGTCGGGACGACGTTCACCGAACCTTCAGTCGTGCCCCCAGCGGCCAGTTCAAACCAACTGGAGGACTTGATGCAATGCAGGCCCAACTGCAACAGTTCCAGCAACTTCAGCTCTATCAACAACACGTACTGCACCAGGTCTCCCAATATCAGTATCAGCAGTAGTTCCCCCAGTTGCCTCAACCTCAACTTCATCAGTTCCCGCCTCGGCACCTAGCCTCGTAACAAGCTAAGTCTCGCTGCCAGAACGAGCGCCCCTCTAGCCAAGGAGAGGTCCCCCAAAACCTCCCAAAAAACCAGGCCTCCCCCCCACAACAGATGAGAGAGACCGGCTACCCCGGTTTCACCGCGGGCGGACAGGTTAGGAGGACCCCAGCTCGCCAGGTCTACGTCACCTCGGCAGTCGAAGTTTGAAACCCCGTTCCTGGAGAACCGGTTCGAGGTCCCGGCAACAGACTCCAAGCAGGACCCCTCTGTTCGCAGCCATCACCAGCAGACCGGGCTACTTCCTGCACAAACATAGCCTGAGTTTCCCTCATTTTTCCTACTTTTTTCCTTGAAACCAAACATAGCGTTCGCCCCAGGTCGGATCTAAAGAGTAGTAGCTCGGGTAATATTGACGGACCACTACATGGCAACCCCGAAGATCTCGCCATCAGATTCTGAGCCTTGCGGGATCACGTCTTGTAACGGTAAGCCTTATCTCCTTCCCGTCCGGTTTGGGCAAACTCGATAAGTTCTATCAGTTATCCCCATTATCGCGGAATCGGATCTCATCGTGACGAGGATCCTGGAACCACTCCGTGAAACCCGCGGGGGCACCATTATATAAAGGCTCCACCCCTCGGGGGTGCAAGGTATGCATGATTTTCCTGCTCTCAAGCTCTTTCAAAAGCAATTTCAGCTCGCTACTAGCCTACTAACTTAGGCATCGGAGCGACCTCGCCGGGTTAGCACCCCCGGGTTCTCTGATATCCTTACAGGTTCAGTCTGCTATCCGTCTGGAAGCCAGATCACGTCCAGCTGGGAGCAGCTAGATCGCGCTACATCAATTGGCGTCGTTTGGGGGAATCGCTACGAGAAGCCTCTTTCCACCAAAAATCACAAACCCAGAATCCATGGCATCCTCCAGCAATGCCGGACAGAATAATGAGATGAATGTCTCCGGGGGGCAACCTCAGACCCCGACTGTGTGCATCGGTCAGTTCACCATACCRCTCTCCGCGGGTGGGGTCCCGACGCTGACCGTGCCTCAAGCAACTGTGCCAGTGAATGCCATACTCCCTCATGTAGTGGGTGCGAATTTTGCTGAACCATCTGTGGTTCCCCCTGGAGTCGGACAACATCAGCTCGATGACCTGGTACATTGCGTGCGGGCTATTCAAGCCCAAATGCAACAGGTCCAATAATTTCAGCACTACAAGCAACAGGTTTTACACCACATTTACCAGCAGCAGTTCCCACCGCTGCGGTAGAATCAACAACCGGTTCCACCTCGGCATCTAATAGCATAGCAGAATAAGTCCCATCGTCAGAACACTCACCCTCCTCGCCGGGGAGAGACTTCCCAGATTCAGCATCCTCTCGAGAGCTAGGTCTCGTCCTGCGACAGGAGGGAAAGGCAAGTTACTCCTCCCGCCTCGCAGCACGTGAACAGGTCTGGAGACACTCAGCACACCAGAGCTACTTCACCTTGGCCCTTGAAACATGAAGGTTCGCTCACTGGGAACCGGTTCGGGTTTTGGCTGCGGACTCCAGGTGAGGCCCCTCCGTTCACAGTAGCCAGCGTCAGCAGTCCGAAACTCTCTGTGCCAAGACATTAACCGACCACACTGAGGTCAGCAACACCAATGTAGAGCCAGCCAAGAAGCAGTAGAGGTGGCGTCCTAAGGCATGTCGAACTGTAGTTCCAAGCCAGCTCGCTGGACCTAGTCAGCCCGAGCAGCCTAAAGGTAAAGAGGAGGCGAGCTCGGAAGCCACAAAGACCGCTCCCCTCCTCTCCGGGTCATCTCCTTTGTCCTCCGAGCTCCTAGCGACCCCGATGCCGAAGGACTTCAAAGTGCCTCCGCTGGATAAGTATGTTGGGTTGTTCGACCCAAATGATCATGTAGACTCGTTCCAGTCCCAAATGCATCTAACTGGGGCTGAGGAATCCTACATGTGTTTTGCCTTCTCTTAGACCTTCAAAGGAGTAGCTCGCACATGGTACAGGAACCTCATGCCTGGGACGATCAAAAGTTGGGCGCAGTTCGTGCAGATGTTCACCTCGCACTTCATCACCAGTAAGAAGTGCTCGAGGTCACAAGAAAGCCTCCTCAGCATAGTCCAGAGAGAAGGGGAGTCGATCCGAAGCTACATCAAATGCTTCAACAACACTTGTTTATAGATTCCCGACCTGGATCCCGCTGTAAGACTCACGGCAGCAAAGAAGGGTATTACCCACAGGAAATTCAAATGGCACGTAGTGGCAAACAAGCCCAAAGATATCATCGAATTCCTCAAGCTTGCTGATCAGTTCATCGGGACCGAAGAGGAGATGAACCAGAAGAATGAAGCCCTAGCGGAGAAGAGAAAAAGAGAAGATGACAACCCGAACAATGGTGGTAGCAAACGAAGAAAAAGCAAGTCCCCAACCAGGGGAGGAAACAAGTCAGATCGGCGTTCCCGAACTCCTTCGGTTAAAGGACGAGCTACACGCCCCTCAACGCGATGCCAGAGAAATTCTTATGGCGATCAAGGACGCCTCCTATGTGAAGTGGCCACCTCTGTTGAGGGGAGATCCCGCCACTAGAAACAAAAATGTATATTGTCATTTACATAAGGATCACGGTCATAGTACCAAAAACTGTTGAAATCTCCGCGACGAGATCGAAGAGCTCACCTGTCACGGATACTTAAAAAA